TATACCAAAATTTTGCAAGGAATTTTTTTTTTTGTTAGAACGTTAAAGATAGTTTCATAAGCAAAATTTTGAGGTATTATCAATTTCTTTAAACAAATCAAAAACTTAATATTGTAAGCACACAGCATGGTGCGATGCTTAATTAAGTCCTTTTATTTATATAAAATTTATATAAAATTTATTCTAACAGTGAAGTTGAAATTAATATTTTTAAGAAATAAAAAACAATGACTCATTTCTGGGGATATACAGTAGAAATATTGTTTTATTAAGTAAATTGAATGAAGTTTAATAAGTAAACGTGTTCATGGGGTTAAAATCACACATAATAAGGGGTGTCAGAATTAACTTATTTCGAAAATAAGCGGTAGTCTAAAAATTCCGAATCAGAAAATTAAATAGTAGGGGTTTTTCAGAATTAAAAAGAATAACGCATTTCGGAAATAATTAGAGGTTTAAAAAATTTTGTGTATCAAAATTTTGAAATCGGAAAATAATGAAATAAGTAAACTGTTCAACAACAAAGATCATTTCGTAAAATGAAATGAAATATCTTTCTGTCAAATTAGATTCCCACACGTTAATTCTGAAACCTCTTAATATAAAATTTTTACAAAAAACAAATAGGATTTTATTAATAGACTTGGCCACTTAAATATTTTGATGATCTTGGTATGTACATACCATTAGATTCGTCTCGGTGAGACGGTTCTAGAAACACCAAAGTCGTCTAAATTAGATAAGATAATAAAATATATAATCTACGGAAATAGGATTAATCCCCAAGAATAGCTATGCATGCGTACTTTAGTGTTACCTCCAAGTGAAAACCAGGAATTCTAAAAATAAATTTCTTTACATGACGATACAGAATGCGGGCTTTTAATCGATCTGACTGGAATAATAAATTATGCTGTTTTTTGATCACATTAGTGTCATTTAAAGTCCATATTCCGTTGTCCAAAGGATTCTATTTTTAGAATTCCTGATTAGACCCAAACATATTTTAACACAAGTTAGGGTTACTTTTTTTTTGATGCGGTTATGGTGAGTGGTTATATATATATCAAGAATATAATTTATGCAATATTTAGCGTTAGGTCATTATATGACTTTAAGCGTTATCCATGATGCGATTGATAATTTCACGTGATTTAGAAATAAATATGTAAATAACAATATCGACATAATAAAAGCCAATGCACATATGTAACCTTTTTGAAATTATTTAAACAATTACGGTGTGGCATAGTAATAATTACTAGTTTTTTAATCCTTAATTTAATTGCACTGATATCGCATAATCAAAATTGTTTATATTGAGGGGTTTCAGAATTAAAAAAAATAGCGTATTTCGAAAATAAGTAGGTGCCTAAAAAATCTTATTTGTATATCAAATTTTGAAATCGGAAAATGAAATGGGAATGTTTAAAGACTCCCATTTAATGAAATAAATAAACTTTTCAACGACAAAAATCATTATTACAATTTTATCGGAAAATGTAATAAAGTCGATACATCGCTCATTTGAAAATAAATACATTATTTCTGTCAAAATTAGATTTCCGCACGTTAATGTCGAAAATAAATTTAAGCACCATGTTACCTATGTACCCTGATTTTGGTGGCAATACTAGTGAGTCAAGAAATTCAAATAAAGTTCAACTTGATTGGGCACCGCATAGGCTCGGCTTAATGTTTAGACTCGTCAACTCATAACTTGAATAGCACTCGAATTTGCCATGATTCAAACCATATAACTTTTGACTCGCGAGTAAATTTTGGAACTTAGTTTAATTCGAATAGCTCAAATAAATTAACTCTCAAGTACTCTTGAATTTAATTCATAAATCACGAATTGACATGAACATAATCACTAGCTCAGTCCATAAATCCAAATAACAATCTGTAAAATACTTGCTTATTAAACATCACTGCTGATTTTGATTGTAAACTAGAAAAACCACCCGTTTGCACTTG